AAGCCCGATGCTCCCTGGGGAGAGTGAAGCGCCACCTGTAGTTTCCACATCATCGGAAGAAGAGGAATGGGACGTGGGCTCTCTTCAGCAAGGCAGTAGGCGAGCTCCGAGGAAAGGATGGGACCCCGAGAACAAAGCGAAGCGGAGCCGTGGCCCGCACCCGGCGGTGGCCACACCAACGAAGTAAGTCCCGGCTCTGAGTGACAGCGGCCAGCGGGCTGCCGGGCAGCGCGTGCTGCCGCAGGGGCGCCCGGCACCGGCGCCCGGCACGGGGTGCACCGAGCAGATCTGCAAAACAAGATTCAAACGCACGTCCCTGGGGAATTGCCAAAGGAAGCGAGAGGCGGGCTGGGCTGCCGGCCCCCGAGGACAGGGCCGAGCCCCGCAGCCTCCGCAAGCCAGTCCCTCTGCCACGACGGCCGGGCCAGGCGCTGTCGGGTAGTGGCTGACGCAGCCGAGGCCCCAGCCTGCCGCGCAAGTGGGGGTGCAGAGCGCAGCGGCAGGAATGGTGGGGCTGGAGGCCTCGATCCGACGGCACGCGCGGGGCGGAGCCGCTCGACCCCGGGGGCCTGGAGTCCCCCTTCAGGTGCAGACCAAAGAGCGCCGGGCTGGCGGGCGGCCTCAGGCCAGCCCGGTCTCCCGGGAGGGCGCGGGGAGTGTGCGGGACAGAGGTCACGTGTGCGGGGTCCCGGAGCAGCGGCCAGGCGCGCCCTGCGGGGACGGCTGACCTGGTCGGCCGGCCGCCGGGACCTGTAGGCACCCCAGAACCGGGTGCTGCAGCCTGTTCTAAGGGACAGGGAATGGTCAGAGAACCCCGAGGGGTGGGCAGGGGCAGCAGGCGGGGCGACTAACGTCAGCGCGTGAGGGGCCTTGCAGCTGCTAACGGCCGGTGAGCCGGCGCGGGAGGCCCGAGTCAGCGCAGCACAGAGGCCTCTGGCGCCACCTCAGATCACAGCCACTGTCAGGAGAAATATGGGGGGAAGAAGCAACTTTTTAGCCCCCAAACAACAAGTATTTCCTCGGGGGAATCCAGTATCCTACTAGGAATTGAAGGAAATTTCACAGATAGGCGTGTGCTCATTCTGCCCTTCCTGCCCTCCCTGCC